GACGCCCAGCCCTCCCGCAGCGGCCCCGCCAGCCCGCGCCGTCCACACCCGCGGCCTCGCCCCGACGCTCCCTTACTCTGCGAGCCGTCATCCACGCGGTCAAACTCCCAGTCTGGGGACAGAGTCTCCACCGCCATCACCCCGGCACCTCTCACAGACAGACACAGCCCCAAGCAGCCGGGAGGGGGAGCGACGCCGCCAGCCTCACCCCAGCGGCTGTCACGACACGTGACTTCCGGTCCCGGTCACGCCCCCCTCCTTTTACCCCCACCCCAAGCCAGCCTGGGCCAGCCCCACTTTGGCCCCTCCCGGGAGATCCGTGCGCCCGACCAGCCCCCGGCGCGCGGGGTTCGGCCAGCTCGTGGGCGGGGGGCGGGGGGGGTGGAGGACTGAGGCCGCGGGGGCTGCTGGGAAAGCGAGTCCTCAGCCCCTCGGCCGAACGCCGTCGCCATGGCAGCCATTCCTGCAGGCGTCCTCGGTTCTGGCTCGGCCCGGGCTTCGGGTCTCTGCCCTTCTCAAGGCAGGTGAGCGCCTTCAGTTTCCCCGGCAGGGTCCAGGCTGTGTTTAATGCCGAGGGGAGCTGCTTTTAAATCCAGCCCTAACTGGGCAGAAGTGGTGGGAACAGGGAGCTACTGCCAGGCCTAGGACAAGCGTTTTTTTTCCTCCTGCCGCCATCCAAGTTCCTGCTGCTCTTTTGCACTCTTAGGTTTTTGAAGAAAAGGCTTCTGAAGGAAAGGAGTGACTTTTACCCACTCTCTGAGTGGGAACTTCACTAATAGTCTCGTCCCCTTTTACTTCTTTTTTTTTTTTTTCTGTCGGTTGTGGGACCTGAACTCTGGCCTGGGAGCTGTCCCTCAGCTGAGGACTCGAACCCAGGGCTTCATGCATGCAAGGCAAGCACTCTACCACTGACACACCTTCCCAGCCCCCTACTTTTACTTTTTAAGAAGGCTGGGCCAGAAAACGTGCCACCTGGCTTTTCCAAGTGTGGGGGGGATCATTTTTACCCCCAGATTGTAGAGTTATACAAACATTTCACACAGGAATGTTAGTTACAGCATGGATTGTGAAACGATCTAAATGCCTATCAAATGGAGTATGTACACACGATGAAATTACTAGACAGATAAAGAAATCAAACAGCAGGGTGTAGTGACATAGTGCCCACTTGAATCTTGGAAATGGGGAGGCTGAGGTTGAAGCTGAAGGCCATCCTGAGCTACATAGTGAGAGCCTGTGTCAGAAAAAAAGAGAGAAAAAGAGAGGGGGTGAGTAAAGGAAAGAAAAAGAATAATACCTCATAAGATTATTATGACTAAATTAGTTTTTACATATTAGTATAATAATACGAGTAGCATACTGTAATATTATTTGTTAATATGAGTAAATATGGCCTTTTTATTCTAATGGAGTATCTATCTTACAGATCTTAAGATTAGCCCAGCTCCCGTGGTTCACGCCTGTAATCCTAGCTATTCAGGAGGCTGAGATCCGAGGATCATGGTTCATAGCCAGCTGGGGCAGGAAAGTCCATGAGACTCTTATCTCCAATAAACCACTAGAAAACCAGAAGTGGCGCTGTGGCTCAAGTGAGAGAGTGCTTGCCTTTAGCTGAAGAATGCAGGGACAGCACCCATCCCAGTGTTCAAGCCCCACAACTGAACAAAAAAAAACAAATCTTAAGACTAAACCTCACTGCCTATTATTTCAAATTTTGTTAGAGAATATACTAACCGAAAAGTACTATATGCAAGTATTATTAGGAATATCCTATATTTTTAAATGATTTTTTAATTTTTTTTTCAGAAATTGAAGGACAAAGGGTGAACAAATACAACAACAGTACTCACTAGACACTATGTTGAAAATGAACTATACAACTTGTGGGTGGCAATGGGAAGAAAAAACTGGGAGAGAGGGAGGGAAGTGGTGACGTTGTCCAAAAAGAAATTTATTCATTACCAGAATTAGGTAAATGGAACCCCTCTTTGTGTCCCCTTTATAAAAACAAATTTTTAAATAAAAATAAGGTAGCCCAAGCACATATTAGTAAATCAGGGGGGAAAAATGTCCTTTCTACTTACCTCGACTGATAGAATACTTTTGAAGCATGTATGAAATACAAGAGGCAATCTTTTACAAGAACATTATTGTATTACTTTTCACAGATGCCTAAAAGAAGTATTTGTCTGCTAACATCTAGGATCCTTGCCCTTATTTATTTATTATTTTTGTGTGTGTGAGCCATGGGGCTTGAACTCTGGGCTTGGACACTGCCCTTTACTCTTCAGCTCAAGGCAAGCGCTCTACAGCTTGAGCCACAGCGTCACTTCAGGTTTTCTAGTGGTTTTATTGGCAATAAGAGTCTCACAGACTTTCCTGCTCGGGCTGGCTTTGAACCAAGATCCTCAGATCTCAGCCTACTAAGTAGCTAGGATTATAGGCATAAGCCACTGGTGTCCGGCTGATCTCTGCCTTTAAAGTACAGGCACTTATGGCCACACCTTAATGTCAATATAGTCAGGGCCAAAACATGTTTTATATGGTATACAGCATGGTCTTGAGCTTGTGTTAAAATAGACATTAAAAATTCTTCCTACAGTGCTGGAATATGGCTTAACTTGCCTAGCATGCATGAAGCCCTAGGTTCAATTTCACAGTACCATATAACCAGAAAAAGCTGGAAGTGGCACTGTGGCTCAAGTGGTAGAGTGCTAGCCTTGAGAAAAAAAAAAA